AGTAATTGTCTTTTTTCCTAATTGTTGTAGCTAAATATATATTAAAAAATAAAAAATAAAAAAAAATTAAATAGCAAAATAAAAATATTTTTCTATAGGTGTTAAGGTTTTTGGATTTATATAACAAACGCGTTGATCCACTAGAGACATTCACCACAACACAGTCTTAGCTATAGCCCTCAATTCCAGAGTAATTGTCTTTTTTCCTAATTGTTGTAGCTAATTAGATGGCAGCTGACCTCATCCTTGGTCCTATTGTTAACGCCATTGTATTCAGGGCGATTGTTAATTTCTAACCTCTAACCGTTAGTTTTACATCGCTATATCTAACAGTTTCTTAAATTAAGACAGATCAATTACTAGGAGCAATATTAAAGAATAGTTTGAAAGATTAGATTATAAATAGCAGTAGAATCTAGGACCAATGCGGAAGGCCGAGTTTCAATTGAGCTTAGAAGTTAGTAATCCGTCGAAACCATGAAGACCGGATACGCTAGGGCCTAGGATAGTCGAATTTCTAAATATAATGGTCAATTGGTCATTAAATTTGGTCTTTCCATTTTATCTTCATGATGATTGAATGCTGCAAAGAAGGCTCCTCTATGCATGGGCCTGAGGCCCTAGATGTCAGTTTCTTGGTCCAACCTAAAGTCCAACTCTAGTATATTGGGCTGTTCTTGATGTTTTTTTTTTTTCTGAAAAAAAGAAGACTGTTAGGTTGAGCCCAAATCGAAGATTGGGGAGGCTGTAAGCGGATTAATAACTGGAACGGACAGGCTTTACAATCTACAAATATTCTGGATACAACTTTGGAGGCATGGTAAGAGCAAATGAACTAGAAAATTACAACAGTAATAGTAATAAATACTACATATTGGTCTTGATGTGCTTTGTGAGTGAGTTAGAGAATGTTAGGTAGAAACAATCTAGCATGTGTCACATGTATTATACTTCGATGGGGAAAAAAAAATCTGCTATGTGGGTCTCATATTTTGGTGGCATGAATAAGAAATTTCTTTTCAAACTGTATATTGATGACGAAAACAACATTTTGAAAGAAATGTGATGCTTGGACTGGGATTAATTTGGGACCAGGTATGAGTCTCATTTAATTTTCGTTATGACACATCTGAAAATTATCACACATAAAACGAAAACATAAGCAATGACGCAGAAGTTACCTGGACAAATTGTTGTGCACTAACGGTCCGTTTCCGCTAGAACAAAAGTCTAGAAAAGGATCCATTGCAGATTGTGAGATAGAGAGGAGATCAAGTCATGGCCTCACTCTAATAAGAGAGGCGATTTTTCATATACCAATTAATACTGAGTATTGGTATGACATGCCAACCATGACCAGAACCAATACATCAAATTCAAAATTTTAACTAAAAAATATATATACAATTCCAAGCAACTTTAATTTACGTATCATCCGAAGTCTTTCTTATCTTTTATCATGTGGCCCCCAAATTAGCTATCATCGATGAAAAAAAAAATTATGCAATCAAATTAAATTTTTTAATATTTAATTTTTATTTAATAATTTGATATAATTTATATTATAAAATAAAATTTTCAATAAACATATAAAACTCTTTTTGTGATACCCAACTCTCATGAAGAGTTGGTAGAAGAATAGATACTAACTACTAAAGAGGATCAAATTATA